CTCTCTCTCTCTCTCTCTCTCTCTCTCTCTCTCTCTCTCTCTCTCTCTCTCTCTCTCTCTCTCTCTCTCTCTCTCTCTCTCTCTCTAGGTGCTCTGGGGTTTCCCATGCGAGGTATGAACAGCAGCGCAGCACCTCAGTTAAGTCGAAGTGGGCTCAACCAGTCTGCCAGCCAGCTCTCCAGTCATGCCAGTACACCCAACGCTGGCACAATGCACACACCTCCCTCACCGAGCAGGTACAACACACACACACACACACACACACACACACACACACACACACTGGCTGAGAGTGAGTCATGTTGTGTGTTTGTGAGTCCTTAAAACATCTTCACTGCAGATCAACACAGTCTGGTGTGAAGAATAGATGGAAACAGACCATCAGTGTTGTAAACTGTTGTTTCACCGGTATCTGAAGCAACACGCCTCCTCCACCTCTGAGCGCTCAGTCACACACGTACCACGTTACCTCAGCGCCCCCGTTTCAAATCCAGCTGCTCCTGTTCCTGTTCACAACCACAAACCACAAACCTTCTCCTGCAGCTCCAACTGTAAAACACATTTCCCTCTCTGTCTCTCTCTCCCTCTCTCTCTCTCTCTGCAGGGGTATCCTGCCCATGAGCAGCCGGAGCGTGCTGAACCACAGCCAGCAGGTGGGGGGTCCGACGGGTCAGGCGGGAGGGATGGGGGTAGGAGGAGAGAGGGGAGGCAGCGGTGGAGGAGGAGGCAGGAGCGGCAGCATGGGGAGTCCCAGCCGCTCGTCACCCAGCATCATTGGCATGCCCAAACAACAGCAAGCACGGCAGCCCTTCACTATTAACAGGTAACACACACACACACACACACACACTATATCCAGTTTAGTTTAACTGGGAAAACTGAGCTCTAGACCTTCGACCTTTTGCTGACCTTTGGTTACTTTGGATATTTAGTTATCAGGAAGTAAAACCTTGTTTCCTCTTTTATTCTCTCTGCAACTGATGATTATTTTCAGTAGCAAACAGTCTCCTGTCGTCTCACATTTTCAGTGAATTGTTTGGTGGAAGAATTCTTACATTTTTAAACATTTTAAAGATAATCTGACGTCTCCTCCACATCTGTCTGTTTTCATTCAGTTCCAGTTTTTTTGACTCCAGTGTTGAACACACACGTCATCAGTTCTGACAATAATCGTGTGTGTGTGTGTGTGTGTGTGTGTGTGTGTGTGTGTGTCAGTATGTCAGGGTTTGGGGTGAATAGAAATCCCGGCTTCAGCTTGAACAACTCGTTATCCAACAACATCTTCAATGGCACAGGTACAAAATAAAATCTCATTATCATAACATTTTTCATTCAAATGTCAATTAGGCCTCAAAGTTTTCAGTGTTTTTATCAATATTTCTACTCAAATGATAATATTTGTTTCATATTTGTTCGTTTCCCCGTGTGTTTGTCCAGACGGCAGTGAGAATGTGACGGGGCTGGACCTGTCGGATTTCCCAGCGTTAGCAGACAGGAGTCGGAGGGACGGAGGCTCGAATCCCACCCCACTGCTCAACCCGCTGGCCGGTCGGGCTCCTTACGGTAAGAGCGACGATTTTTTTTGTGGTGATGTATCGGGTCAGAGCCAATCAGAGGCAGGGGGCGGGTCTTTGCAGAATGCAAGGGTAAAAAAATAAGGCTACACAATTACATACGCGTGTTGTTGTGTAGGTGCTCCATTATTAAGCTTTAATTGGTGCATTACTAACCGCTCTATCCTCCATGTTTCCAGTTGGCATGGTAACCAAGCCGTCCAGTGAGCAGTCGCAAGACTTCTCCATCCACAACGAAGACTTCCCAGCTCTTCCTGGGCCAAACTACCAAACAAAAGACCCCACCAGCACCAGCGAAGACAGCAAAACGGTTCGGTTCACTTCTCTTCTTTGTCTTTTCATTTCTCATTCTGTCCATTTCCTGTTTGATGTCTTTCTGTTGTTGTTTATTTTCTCCCGTCTTTGTCTTTTGCCGTTCTCTCCTCTCCCACTTCCTCTCCTTGTCACTGCTTTCTTTTCATTTCCTGACTTATCCAACTTATTTGGGGAATGACTTTTCCCTCCATTTTTCTTGTCCAATCAGAATCTGAATTCATCAGGAAAGCCCACCTCTAACTCAGATGGTCCAAAGTTCCCTGGCGACAAAAGCTCTGCGCCTAGCAACAACAACCAGCAGAAGAAAGGGATCCAGGTTCTTCCCGACGGTGAGAAACGCACACTCCATGACGGGGGGGGGGGGGGGGGGGGGGGTTAAAAACTACAGATCTTAGTCTGAACCGGCGTCATGTGTGGTCTCTGTGTCCCAGGGCGCGTGACCAACATCCCGGTTGGCATGGTAACAGACCAGTTTGGGATGATCGGCTTGCTAACGTTCATCCGGGCGGCAGAAACGGATCCTGGCATGGTCCACCTGGCGCTGGGCTCCGACCTCACCACACTTGGCCTCAACCTCAACTCACCTGAGTACGACACACACACACACACACACACACACACACACACACACACACACACACAGGGGCCTCTTCTACAAACAAAGCTTAAATAATCCCAGCTAATGTGCTCTTATTTTGAAATGAAGGCAATGACTGAGAGACCTTTCATATAAACTTATTATTAAATTTTCATCTCTCAATGAGAAAATAAATCTAAACGCCTCTCTCTCTTTTCTCTCAGGAATCTCTATCCTAAGTTTGCGTCTCCCTGGGCGTCGGCTCCGTGTCGACCGCAGGATATAGGTGAGTCTGAACCGTTGAGGTGGGATTATTGAATATTTATGGAATTGATATTCCACCTAACTCATCACATGGCCTTTACACAACTCCAGTGTGATAATCACAGTGCTCTGTGTGCTGGCTGTGAAAATAAGCGACTGTTTATAAGGCGACGACCTGTGTGGGTTGTGTCTCAGAAAAACAAGGGACGCCGTTCAACGCAGAAAACTATAATAATGATAATAATAATAATAATAATAATAATGATGCAGGTTTTCTGGGGGTTTCAGCTCTTTACCTCCTCTTCCTGCAGATTTTCACGTCCCCTCAGAGTATTTAACCAACATCCACATAAGGGACAAGGTACGTCCAAATAATATGATGGTTTCCTGTCTGAGTCTCTTACACACCTTCTGTGTTGAGTAACAGTCAAAATATGTCATTTTTAGTCCTTCATTCATATTTTACTTAAAAATGAAATAAACAAAAAATTCTGAAATGTTAATAAGTCTTAACAGTGTTGATCTATTTCCCTCTGACCTTTGACCCCACCCCGTCCTGTCTGCAGTTAGCAGCTATCAAGTTGTCTCGGTATGGTGAAGATCTGTTGTTTTATCTCTACTATATGAACGGAGGAGACCTACTACAACTACTGGCTGCAGTAGAACTGTAAGAAACACACACACACTCATATATGAGTTAATATAACTAACAGTCCACATCTTGAATCATAATCAGGATGTTTGTTGTTTATTATTTGCAGTTGGTTGGAACTTAGTTTGATGGTTTTCTTTCTGGTTTGTAAACACATCTTCCTGATAAACAGTTTGTAACCTCAGATCAAGTTTAGAATTCATTTCTACAGTGTTTGGTGACGTGTTGTTTTTGTTGAGGTGTGGGGATTTATAACTGCTGTAGCTCATGGGCACATCTCCAGTGTTTCTAGGCAGGAAAACAAAACGGCTTCCTGCCTTTATTTTCCTAAATTTGGAGATCTGAGTGGCTTTGATTGAGTTTGACGTCATACACACGTATAAAGTTTTTCAAATTAGAATTTCAGTCGGTTTTTTCATCTGATATTTGTACATTCACCAGCTTTACACTCAGCTCGTCTGGATCTCTACCGTCCACATACAAACTAAACACGAGAGAAAAAAGATGTAAAAACTTTAAAGGACTAGAAACAGTGTGTCAGCCATCTGAAGTCAGTCTGTGTGTGTGTCCAGCTTTAACAGGGACTGGAGGTACCATAAAGAGGAGCGGGTTTGGATCACCCGGGCTCCAGGTATGGAGCCCACGCTGAAGACCAACGCCTACGAGAGAGGGACCTACTACTTCTTCGACTGCCTCAACTGGAGAAAAGTGGCCAAGGTGAAAACAAACACATATTTACGCTTCGTGTTAAATTTAAATTTCTGTCGATCAACTAATTGATTAATTGGCAGCTTGTTTCTTTAATTGGAGGCTCCACAGAGCTTAATGGCAAACAGTTTCAGTTTTATTAGTCTTTTGTTGGAGAAATATTATCACCAATAACTATTTTCATTTAGCATTTTGGTAATTTGAGAGTCGTAACTAAATCTTTGTGTTTTCAGGAGTTTCATCTGGAGTACGACAAACTAGAAGAGCGGCCTCACGTTCCCTCCACGTTCAACTACAATCCTGCCCAGCAGGCCTTCTGATTGGCTCTCCCTCCTCCTGCCTGCCTGCCATTGGCCCTCCTGGCTCATCAGTCACCCCCCTCCCCCCCTCCCTCCCCCAGGTTTTTCTCACCTCCACACACTCAAAGAGAATCTGGCCATTGAGGACTCGGGACAGGAGAGGACGTCCTGGCTCCTGTTCTCTTAAACACTTTCTGAATAGACTTTATAATTTTAACTTTTCTGATTTTTCTTTGTTCTTTACCTCATTTTCCTTTTTTTTTATTCCCCACCCCTCCCTCCATGGGTTTGGTTCAGTTGGTCTGTAATGTGGAGCACAGACTTAATGTCAACAGACAGCACAGTACATCAAACACAGACACACACTGTAAATAACTGTCCATCTGATCGAGTGATTCATGTTTCTATTCAGTCTTAAAAATAAAACGACTATTTTTGTCTAGAGAAGCTTTTAAGAACCAGATTTTAACACAGGATTCAATCACCTGTCAGGATGGATAATTATTTCACAATGTGTCAAACAGAAACTGAAGATATTTATCTTTTATTTTTACCAGGTTTCTCCAGCATTACAAATCAGAACACACATCAGCAGACAGTGGACAGTCAGGAGAGGAAATGCAATGTACATTGTAGCACTATTTCATAATAAAAGGAGAAAAATATCTTTTATTTTTTTGGTTTGTGTTGATGTGGCAGCGGCTTTGATTTTAACGGATCAGCTTTTTGGTTTTTAATCCATGTAGGAGAAATAGAGTGAAACAAACACCAGCGTATTGAACAGATACATGTGTTTGGTGTTTTGAACAAACTCAGTTAGTATTCATTCCTCATGAATTATCTCTTCAAGGATAAAGCTGGTGTTGAACTTATGTTTTTCTTATTGTCAAAAAGACCCAAACCAACAACGTCCGTCTCTCAACTCTTCCCTCCTCTGTCTCTGAGCTCATTGGTTCCTACTTAAGACTTGAATCTTTAAAACGTTAAAAGAAACGGCTGAACACTGTAGTTTTCACCAAACACACGGGTGGAAATATTTGTTGGCGACTATTTTCAGTGGCGGATTAATCCACTGTGATTTCTCCAGTGAGTATTTCCTGTTTTGTCCCAGAAGTGAAACGAAACCTCCTCATGACCTCGTGGTCTCTGAATGTAACAAGTATTCGACAGATTTTGTGTTTGAGCATCGAAACATCTTCATTTAACAGCTCATTTCTGTCTGGAATTAAATCTTAGCGAGGATGCAACTGATCGTTTTTATTGCTGATTATTCTGCGCATTCTTTTCTCAATGAAAAGAGAAAAAAGTCTTAGTTTACAATGTAAAACAAAGAAAATCTTCACCTGAATGTTTGACATTTTATCAGATAATTTTTTAATCAATTCATTTAGTGTTTCAGTTCCATAAACCTCATTTTTTAGAGCAAGTGAAAACAAATCTGCAGTTACGGCGAGAATTTCAAAAGTTTCTGAAACAAGACTGAAAAAAAAAAGTTTATTTTAGAGAATAGCAGAAATGTTTTCACTGCACTCAGATTCTTGCACTTGTTTTAAGAAAATGATAATTTAATGATTGAAATTACAGGGAAAAAACCCCTCGGTGTCGGGAGCCACTGCAGCTCAGAGGAAGAAGATTCATCCGACTTTTACACAAAGATAAAAACTTGTTTGTTGGAGACGTTTATTGTTGGTTTGGATCAGATGTTGACAAGTAGAAAAATATAGATTTTCATTAAATTCAGATTTTATTAAACAACACAACAGAACAACAACAGAGGGTAACAGAAAGACAAATATGGATTATTTTAGCCAAATCTCAGTGGATCAAAGTAACAGACTTTTTTATCAGTTTTCATCCTCAGCTTTTCATTTCTATCCCGACATCTCGGCTCCTCGTCTTTCTCCCCGTTCCTTCACTTATAACATTTAATTCCTTTATTTATCTTATACTTTTCTTTCACCTCCCACATTTATCAGCAGTGTCTTATTTTCCGCCCGGCAACAGTCGAACCAATCAGACTGCTGGAGTGACCTCTCCTGAAAGATCGTTAAAGGAAAAGTTGAACATTTTGGGATGTAGGCTCATTCGCCTTCCGGCAGAGTTAGATGAGAGGATTGATACGACTGTCGTGTCAGTGTGGTTAATATGAAGCTGTAGCCAGCAGTCGCTTAGCTTAGCATAAAGATGGGAAATGAAGGTAACATAATCCACCTACCAGCACCTCTAAAACTCGTAAATTAAAGCATCTTTCTTGTTGTTTAATGTGTAAAAATCCAAAGTGTAAAAATGACAAATCGCTGTTTTACATCAGATCATGTGACAGACTATTTCTTGGTCGGCACGGTGACGTCTTCGAGTCTTTATCAAAAAAATACTCTGGTGCGTAATTAGCAAACCAGAAAATTGTCATTTTTACACTTATATTTTTGCACCAATAAAACAAACAAGATAAAACACGTTGATGTGCGAATTTTTAGAGGAGCTAAGCTAAGCTAACCAACTGCTGGTGGTAGCGTACAGACAGGAGAGTGGTATCAATCTTCAAATCTGACTCTGTTAGAAAACAAATACGTTTATTTCTCTAAATGCCAAACTTTCGTCAGTCCAGCTGAAGACAACCCACCAAAAACATCTTTATTTTAAAGCTTTAAATTGATTTTAATTTGAATATCATTGTTTTCAAATTCCCTCCAGGAGGCACCAATGTACAGTTGTGTGTGTGTGAGTATACATATATATATATATATATATATATATATACACACACACACATACACACACACATAAACATGAGGCAGTATTCTTAAGAAAAAGGAGGGGGGCGCTCCTCCTCTACTGGCCGCCAGTAAACGATGCAATACTAGACTTCCACCATCAAGGTGACGTTTTACAGGGACCACGCCCGACTCCGCTGACACCACCCACCTTCCAGCAACAACATCCGCTGCTGCTGCTGCTGCTGCGACGACGATGGCGGCGGCGACGGCGGCGACATCGGCGACATCGGTTGCCATGACTACAGGAGCCAGTTTGTTCTCACTGCAGCAGGAAAAGCCAAGGACACGCCCACAGACCCCATGTGATCTGTTTGAGAAGATTTAATTGGAGAATGAGAACTGAGGCACTTGGCCATTGGCTGTTTTATTAAATATGGCAGCTAGTGTTTTAATAGAAAAAAGAATAAAATAAATATTCTGGTAATGAAATTGAAAGACGAGTCCGGGTTGTTTGTTTGTTTGTTTGTTTGTTTGTTTGTTTGTTTGTTTGTTTGTTTGTTTGTTTTGTGTTTTTGTGGAAAATGCAGTTTTTATTTTCCAGCTGTGGGAAGTTGAAGATCCTCCTGAAGATTCACGTTTTCTTCTTTTTTCTTCTAACGCCATGTGAACAAGTCTGCACCTGCTACAGTCACTACAACACAGACGATCCGGTGTTTACCGCGTTTAACATGAAAACTAACTGATGGCGGACAGACACCGATTGTTAAACCTCAACAAACTGCTGCTTCGTTTCTCTTTGTTATTATTTAGTCAGTCTGATTTTGTGTCCATGTCGCCATTAGAATCAGGGCTTTTTGTAATCAATATGTGTTAATCATTCATTTGGTTTATTGATTATTTGTTTGGGGTATTTATTGTCCAAAATTAGTTAAAAAAAAAAAAAAAATGTCCGTCACAATTTCCCAGTTGTGTCTGAGGAAAGATCCTGATCAGTTTACCATCACAGAAGACTGAGACATTTCAGAGGCTGGAATCAATGAATTCTTGACGTTTTTGCTTTAAAAAAAAAAATTACTTAAATGATCAATCAATTATCAGTTAATGTTATTTTCAGTGGACACATCAGTGGTGAGTGGAAGACGTGAGGAGCAGCTCGATGAAGAAAGAACCGTGTACATCTCATCCACTCTTCATCTCCATCTTTCTCTCGTCTCTTCACAGGAAGTCGACGTCCCCGTTTCTTATCTGTGTCACCTGTAAACGTGCTTGGCTCAGTTCACCTGGGCGACACCTGTTTGAATCTGAAGAGCGCGAGATGTGGATGAAGCTTCAGAGATCTCTCTGTTCAAGGTAAAATGTTACTATTGATCTGTTTCTTCCATAAACATTAATAAGAATAATCAGTTATTTGCTCTAAAAGTAAAGTAAAAGTGGAGAGAAAATGACGCTGTGTGTCAGTAGTTTGTCCACCAGAGGGCGCCGCGTGTCAAAACAAGAACAGACAGGACGACTGAATAAACTGATATAAGACATGATGTAAAACAGCTGGTTGTTCTGTTGTTAAGTAAAGTTATTGGTAAATTCAATTATCAGTTAATGAACATCTTTATTTTTAATGAAGCAGTGATTTCACCTCGAAAGCCTGTTTAAGTTTAATACTGTAGATTCCCAGATTCACTTTGTTGAAACCAAAACTATTGAAGTGATTCGTGTTAAATTAGATGAAGAAGACAAGATGAGATTTTTAGCAGCTGCAACCGACAAATGTTTAGTTCTCCTTTTTCTTTTTTTTTTTACTGTTAACAAATCAATATATTGATTTTTCATCCAGGATTCCTCCTCGCAGAAACTTCCAAGACAAGTGGTTTATAACCTGGAGGTACACACACACACACACACACACACACACACAAACAAAAAGATTACCCACAGACACTCAGGGTTTCTCTGTGAACAGCGAGCGTTGAGCTGAGAGCGATAAAAGACTTGATGTGGTGATAAAAGCAGATTTTACTGCAGAGATAAAACTCGTCTGTTCATTTTAGGAAACGACTGGAGCTGCTGCGATCAAGTGGAATCAGATATTTAATTTAATGAAATACACAGAGGTCACTGCCACAGCAGCTGAAGCTCATCATGGGCAAGTGTCCATGTTGGCAAAAATAATACAAATGAAGTTAAAATAATATCTTTTCAATCAGTTAATCCATCAGTTGGGTCCGTGTCAAGTTGGTAATCATTGTTACATCCAGCTGCAAAGTGCTGACGAAAACATGAAATAAATGTCAATAAATCCATTAATAACCATCGGCCAGAATGCTTCTCTGTCATGTTGTGACCAATACATTAAATCACTTCCAATGAGCTCTTAAAGAGTCATGAATATGATTTAATGAACACAACAGAAAGCCAAAGCACAAAGGAAGATGTGGAGGAGCTCCTGAAAAATGGAATAAAATGCAGATTCAAATGAGATAGTTATAGAGCTAAATAAAAACTGGAAACAAAATATAAAGATGGAGTTTAGTTCAGCCTCATTTAACTTCAGAAAATTTCACACTAATTAAAAACAGTTTTCACAGATAATCTTAACGCTTCTTTTCACTTTCTATTCTCTGTCTTTTTCTTCTTTTCTAATTTGAAGTCTGAACAAAAGTTACGTAACTGACAAACTGATCTAAAAACAGTGAAACTGTGGGAGTGAGTGGGCGAATATGAGAAGTTCAACTTTATTTGTTAATTAGCTCATTTTGTCTCTTTAAACAAAACAAAGAACCAGAGCCACAAAACGACATGAGACTCAAACATCACAGTCACACAGTATGAACTGAAGTAAAAACATCTTCAGTGGCTCATTTCTTACAATAAAACTTCAACCCCTGACAGCAGCTTTAAGTTCCTGGAATCATTTGGCCTGTAAGTGATAATAAACACAGGGTTTAAATTTGTCACCTTTGTGGATTCATCACTGGATTCATTTCCTGCAGTCTGAGGTGACGTCTTCACGTGTCTCGTTCTGTCCAAAACATCCAGTTTAATATGAAATAAGACAAAAAAAAACTGTGAATTCTCACATATTAGAAGCTGGAACCAGCAAATATTCGACCCTTTTGTTGAAAAATGACTTAAATGATTAATCAGAATCAGAAATCCAATCAAAATACATTTCAAAAAACTTGCAGATTATTTTTGTTAATCGTTGCAGCTCTAGATTTAACAGCGTTCTTTAGAAATATGGAAGATGAGCTCACAACATCAAATTCAAAGAGGCTTTATTGACACGACTGAGTGTATACACAGACGTGTTGTCGCTTGCTGTTGACAGTGTGTTCTGTGTCACCCTGTAACCGCCTCATATGTCCCATTTTAACAACAGGATTTCCACAATAAGAGCGCAGCCTGTCGTTTTGTGCTTGGCAGTGATCACTGTCGGTGATTACAGACAAAACAACGTGTTCAAAAATAATTTGTCTGGTGCAGAACGAGGCTGCAGCAGGACTCCGTTGCATTTTTCCATCAGCGTGCTTTCAGAAAAGAAGCAGCCATCAGCTCCATAATGAGGGATATTACCCGGCTGTGGCGGAGTGTGCAGCGGCTCGTTGTAGCAGCACTACTTCAGTGTTTTTCCAGGACAGCAGGAGCAAATATTGTGCCGCTTAATCGCATCATCTGAATGTTGATTTGAGTCAGACGATGCCCTTTTCCATCCACTTTTATTTGCTTTACCTCCCGAAAACCCAAATCCCGTCCACAGAGGATGCCACCTGTCGACGCAGACTGCCTGTAAAACTCCTCCTCTTATTTGTATTTATTTCACTTTAACTGGAAATTTAGCCCAAATTTCCTCCATTTTATTTGTTGTCACACTCAGTCTCAGTTTGGGAGTTTTAATGTCAGGTGTAAAATCAGTCACAACGACTCTGTCGGTGTGTGACTGATATTTCTGCCTGGTGTTTGTGTCTGCCGGAGCTCTGCAGAGACACGTGGCCCGTGTTCCTCCACGCTGATGTCCGTTATTATTTGTAATCTTTTGATCTGCAGAGATGATAATAATCCTGCCACATGCCTCCCTGATTACCAATGCATAATGCTGAGGCTTTATTCTGGAGCCTTTCAGCGCTTTGCGTTTATGCAACAGGCCGAAGCACAGAGAGAAATGACTCTTTACAGCAGAGGTTGAAGGATGTCAGCGTTTAAACCAGAGCTGGAGTTTTTTTTATCATTATTTCACTATTTTCATGAAAAATAAACCTCCAGTATTTAGTGTTTACTACCATGTTTTCTTTATTTCTGATGGTCAATAAATGTTTGGGCAAAGATCCTTATGGCCAAATCCTGAAGTTCCATGTTTCTTCTTCTTCTGTGTTTTATTTGAAGTGTTGATCCATCAGAAGATATTTAAACCATCTCAGTGTAGTTTTACATCTCGTCTCTCAGGCTTCTCTCTGCAGCTCTAGTAACAACAGGTCAGTGAGCCAATCAGAAGAGAGGAGGCTCTGAGCCTCTCCTCTGATTGGCTGACTGTTTTCTGAGTGATCCGATAAAAATAAAGCAGATTTCAGGTAAAAACACTCAGAGAAACCAAATCCTGCAAGGTTTGGATGGTGGGTCCAGGTGGGTGGGGCTTGGTGACCGCTTCGTTGTGACATCACAAAGTTCCAGAAGTCCTGACGGCTGGTTTTAAATAAAAACTTTCACACAAGTTCTTCTCAAGACTCTGTCCAACAGGCGATCAGAGCGGCTTCTGTGAGAGTTTGTGTTTGTGTTGATGGATCTGGGGTCTGGCTTGTCAACAGGTGCCTCTTCATTCATTTATTTATTTATCTATTTATTTTTACCCCGGCTGGACTCTTCAGTGCCGACTGAGAGCGGGAGAAATCAATACAGTTCTGTCAGCTCATCGATCGCTCGGTCCTTGGAGGCCATTTTGGACGGCTGGTTGCATCTTTAACAGTGATCAGACTCTGCCAGCACGCGCACACACACACACACACACACACACACACACACACACACACACACACACACACACACACACACACACACACACACACTTATGATGAAACTCTATTGATCTATTAAGAGAAACTGTGTCATCAGAGCAGCAAGTAATGAAGTGCAGTAAAGGAAATAAACTTTATGGACGACATTGATACATACAGATGACACAGCATCCAACAAACCCATACAGATATCACATCAGTGTCCAAATACTTTTGGCAATGTAGGGCAGCCTGCATCTCTCTGTGACGTTTCTATGGTTTCATCTCTCTCTCTCTCTCTCTCCTCCTCTCTGCAGGTTGAGTGATGCTCGGTCGCCCCGGTGGTCCGATGATTCAATCCAGATTTGTGTTGCGTTTCGCCGGTGGCCGCTGGTTGTTCTCTCACTGTTACAGGCTGGATGAGATAAGCCTCTTAAGCCGAGGGAGAGCGTGTCTCTCTCAGAAACATCCTCTGGTTGTCAGGGCAGCAGCTTCCCTTCATACAGGACAGACATGTTCGTTTCTAGAAGTTATGCAGCAGATTTTATTAGTTATTAAGGTTAAAACAAGATGGTGCTAAACTTTCCTCATGTTGATTCTTTAAACGGTCAAAATGTGGGTTTTTATGAGCGTTTGCAGCTTTTCTCATTCATGTTGGCTTCAAAGATGACTAACAAATAATTCAAAGTAATAAAAAGGTTCTATTCATTAAAATCTAAAGCTCAAGGACGAGTTCAGACAGAAGTATCTCATCAACTATTAGACGGATGGTCATGATCTTCTGTGTCGATATTCACCGTCCCCACGGGATGAATCCTAATATTCTAGATCCTCGACACTCTGATGTCCAATACAAAAAAGAAAAGCGCATACAAGAATGTTTTATTTATTTATTTATTATTATAAAAGGACAAAAACACATGTAGATAGATGGTTCATTTCCCATGAGCCTCCATGCCTCCAAAATCCCCCCTTCTTCTAGAGATATGACATCAGGCCTTAGATAGATAGATAGATAGATAGATAGATAGATATGAGATTTGTACATTTAAATTAATTTAGCAGGCTAATCATGAAGGATCTGAGGTTGGTGTGTCCACATACTTTTGGCCATAAAGTCTATAAAAGTCCACATCATAAAAATACAGTTCATGCATCATAAATGATGTACTTTGTGTGAACTAACCCTTTAGTATAAGTTTTACGGTAGTTTTTGTTTTTACAGTAAAGAGACAAAAAATTAGAGGAAGAAGAAGAAGAGATATTGTGAAGGAGGGAGGGCAGAGAGAAAATAGAAGCAGTAGAGTATGAAATAGAGAGAGAGGGATGGAAATAGAGATATGGAGGGAGGGAGGGAGAGAGGGAGGGAGGGAAGCCTAAATGAAGCCGCAGGGAGATGAAGCAGATGTAGAGACAGAAAGCAGCCGGTGTTTAAACTCAACAGTTTCTCAGTATCAGGCAACGAGCGTCGCCTCCACCTCTGTCTTCCTCCTCCTCCTCCTCCTCCTCCTCCATCCACCCATCCTCTCTCTCTCTCACTCTCTCTCTCTCTCTCTCTATCTCTCTCTTCTTCCTCCTCCTCCTCCTCCTCCTCCTCCTCCTCTTCTCCTCTCCATGCCGGCGGAGGTCTCCGCGGGGCTGCCATGGCGAAGATCCGGGTGTCGTACGAGTACTCCGAGGCCGAGGACAAGAGCATCAGGCTGGGCTTGTTCCTGATCGCCTGCGGGATCCTCAGCCTCTTCATCCTGGGCTTCTGCTGGCTCAGCCCGACCCTGCAGAGCCTCCAGAGCAAGCCGGCCAACTGCACGGTGAGCCCGGCCACACGAGCTCCGAGCTGCCGCCACCGACCGCTGCGCGCAGCCGGTGTCGGCGCTCCGGACCGCGGTGGACTAGTTGTAGTAGTTTAGTTAGTTGTGGTAGTGGTAGTGCTACTAGTTAGTGAAGGGGCAACACTTTACTGTAAGTCGTTTAGTCTATAAACACGGAGTTAATGCTTCACTATAATGTCATTTAAATGTTTATTAATGTATTTTACAGCGACAAACCAACTGAATTAAATGAATACAAATATAATACAACACTGTTATAATTATATAGAATATTTCTTATTCTTATACCTGCTTATAATTACATTTAATGTGTTAAACACCATTTATTAAATGTTATAAATGTAACATAGAGGACTTAAACTAAAGTTATTTCTAACAGTGTAATTTACATTAATAGTGATATAATAATAATAATAAGTCTGTTATTAGAATTAGTAATAGTAATATGTGTTGTAGCAATAATAAAAAGTTTGTATTATATTTATATAACAGCTGTATTACTGCATCAGTTTTACCATTACAAGTTACTACAACTAGTTCAGGATTTTCATTAGTGAAGGAGGATTAAATAATATTTCCAGGAGCTGTGATACATGTTGAGAAAAACGGATAAATAATCCCAAAACATTTTGATGATTAATTCATCAGAACGAGACAAAACTTTAACGATCCCCACAGGAACATTTCTTTGTTACAGTTAAGAAAGAGGAAATGATGAAGTGAAAAAGTAAAAGTTCTGCTAATATAGTAATAATGATAAATAGACATTATTTATTCATTTATTTAATTCATTTAGTGCCCAATATTCTTTTATTGTATCTTATTCTGGTAGTATTTGCATTATTTTTTTATTTCTTCATCATAATAAACTGAATATTTTGGGGGTTTTAGACGTCACCTTCAGCTCTGTGATAATTTAATGAGCATCTTCGGAAGCTGGACAGGAAGAGAATTCAGTGTTCAGCAGATTCAGCAGATTCACGTCCTGATGATGTTTCTGTTGTACAAGTTTATACTCAGTCGTTGTTTAAAGCAACTTCAGATAAAAACTGACACAAACTGGTTTTTGAAGTGTTTGTTTTCATGCATGACGATGATGTTTCACACCTGATTTTTATGTCTGTACTGGAAAATATCCTCGTTGAAGTGGTGATGGTGATTTGAACCGTATCACCCGCCGCAGATAAGATGATCTGAGCTAATCTCCTTCAGCCACTCAGGAGGAGAGAAGTGTTGAGTAATAAATCAGGACTAAGAGGAATCAGATCAGTGATCAGTGATCGCGTCAGTGGGCGTGTCGGTCTCCATTTTCCTCATGATGATGGACGGAGATGATGAGGCTGTTGTCAGATGTGACAGGATGTCTGACACCGAGCTGTCAATCATCAGCAGACTGTCAGCGACGCCGAGGGTTTCAACTCAGAGTTTCAATCGGTCGATCAAGAAAAAAAACATAGATAATTGATCAACTGAAGAAAATAATTAACAAATGGACCGATAATGGAGATAACTTTATTTGTACGTTATTTTGTGGCTCAGCAGTGCCGGGCTTGAATCCTGGAAGTGGTCCAGATTAAAGTAAAAGCAGACTACGACATGAAGCCCACAGCGATGCAGCCAAGAGAAAACTGGAGACTTCAAACAGGGTCAGGTGTTACGTCAGCTGTGGGTTCAAATCCTCCGCTCCCTCCAGAGGAGAACAAACACACGACCTTTATTCTGAAAATACCTGTTTATACAGTTAAACCGACCTCAGGCCTTTTTCTCATCCTTATCTCCTTCACCTCCTTCACCTCCTTATCTCCTTCACCTCCTTCACCTCCTTATCTCCTTATCTCCTTCACCTCCTTCACCTCCTTATCTCCTTCACCTCCTTCACCTCCTTCACCTCCTTATCTCCTCCTTCACCTCCTTCACCTCCTTATCTCCTTCACCTCCTTATCCCCTTCAACTCCATCACCTCCTTATCTCCTTCAACTCCTTCACCTCCTTATCTCCTTCACCTCCTTCACCTCCTTATCTTCTTCACCTCCTTATCTCCTTCACCTCCTTCACCTCCTTATCTTCTTCACCTCCTTATCTCCTTCACCTCCTTCACCTCCTTATCTTCTTCACCTCCTTATCTCCTTCACCTCCTTCACCTCCTTATCTTCTTCACCTCCTTATCTCCTTCACCTCCTTCACCTCCTTATCTCCTTATCTCCTTCACCTCCTCCACGTTGCGTCACTTTCCGTTGCGGAGTATTAAAAGTGTTTGCGCGGCGCGTGGAGTTTTCATAAATCACAGGCGGCTCTGCTGCTGCTGCTGCTGCTGCTGTTGTTCACTGTGGATGATGAATTCGTACAGCGCTGATTTATTTGGCTGTTAGCTTATTGCATTGTCCTGAAATAATGTCGGTGCATTACAGAGAGTGGAAGCCTTTAGTTTCCTTGTTTTTCTTGTTTTGAAATAAACGGTCCACGGTCACGTGTCCGTGACAGTGTGCTCTGTCATTCACTAATCCACTGCTTCACAGAACATAAATCTCAATGCTGGGACTTCACTGCGGCTCCCTGACGTGGTGAGTGATGAACAAAGCTCTGACTTTGATCAAATCTGCACAGATTGATTGCGTATTACCTTGTATTGATATTTTTACTTTCATGGCTGCGTCTGTTATTTCAGTCCGGTAATGAGCGGGGGGAAGAATTGCCGCCATCGCTCTTCATTAACGTGAGATATGAGGAAGATTCGGGTCACGTTCGCTCACATGTTCAGACTCAGCAGCTACGACGTTTACGTGTGGTGTGTTATTCTGATCACTGCTGCTAGAAACTAGAAAAACCACCTCATGGTCGTCTGAATCTGCCAACCAGTCCGGCTGCAGCTCTTTATCGAGTTACGTCAAGTGACCTTTGACCTTTGCAACAAATTCTAATCAGTCCATCCTGGAGTCCATGTGAACGTTCGTGCCCAATTTGTCGGACGCCCCTCAAGGCCTTCGTGAAATGTTTCGTTCATGAGGCCAAAAACATTTTGAGAGGTCACAGTGACCCTGACCTTTGACCCTTGACTGCCAAACCCTGACCAGTCCATGTTTGAGTCGAAGTAAATGTTTGAGCCGGATTGAAAGTGAAAAGTTCACAAGAAAGTGAGGTCACCGTGACCCTTGACCTTTTACCAATGACCACCCTCGAATTCCCTCGAAGCGTTCCTGGAGACACAGTAACATCTGGAGGAGATTCGTGGTCCCCAGAGGATGAACTCTCTGACTTCGTGGTTTTGAGTGAAACATCTGGACAACTGTTGGATACATTTCCACCAGATTCATTCTCTCCTGAGGATGAACTGTAACGACGTTTAATCGCCGCCATCGTTACGTCGACACTTGACGTCTTTGGTTTGTGAACAAATACCTTGAAAACTAATGACGTTCCCAACGGACTCAGCTGTGCTTTGTGTTCAGTGCTAATTAGTAAATGCTAGCAGTGCAGCTGCTAGCATAAACAGTATAGCATATAAGATTTGCTCTCTGGCATCTGTTTAACCTTCCTGCTGCTGCCTGCGCATTCGCACTATTGGACGTTAGTGGTGTGTTTTGTGATGCAGATGATATTTTTTTAATGTACTTTCTTCAATCAATCAATCAATCAATCAATCAACTATAGACTTGTTTTTCCAGTTTCAAGTATTGTATTTCTGCAACAGAGCCAATCGATCGATCCAGCTCCAGCTGATGGTGAAAATGAGTAAATTCATTGGTGGTAAATGGCAGTTTGAAGTTCATGGTTTCCTGTTTCTTCATATGCCCCCCCCCCCCCCTCCTCTTCCTCCTCTCCCTCCTCTTCCTCCTCCCCCTCTTCCTCCCCCTCCCCCTCCTCTCTCAGGTGGTGTCGGTGTTGCGTCCGGAGGAGATGTTCGAGTGTGTGTTTACCTGTGGTACTGACTGTAAGGGGACGTCCCTGTATCCCTGCCTGCAGATCTTCGTCAACAACTCGGAGTCGAACTCTGTGGCTCTGCTGCACTTTGACGAGCAACAGCTGGTCCTCAACCCGAAGGTAGAACACGACACGTTTCTAATCATTTTAACACCAGGAAGCAGATTTACCTCAGAGAGGACGCTTTCCCGCAATGTTGACGGAAGTGATAAAAACAAAACTGACCCACGAACCATCCAGCCACCGAGTGAGGTGCAAATCTGTTCCGAACTTTTTGGTTAAAAAACAAACAAACAAACAAACAAACAAACAAACAAACAAACAAACAAACAAACAAACAGGTTCGAGTGATAAACGACCTCCTTGCTGATTTAGTTGATAGAAGCTTCTCACTGTAGATTTAATGGATTTCCTGTGAAAAAATAACTAAAGGGAATTAAATTTTAGTAAAATAATCAATTCATTTCCAAAGTTTTAATGACAGGAAGCTGAACTTGAGTAAGTGAAGTTGTTCTGGTTGTAAAACAGATAAACGTGCATGGAAATGTAAAGCGCGTGGATCAGGCGTTAACGGCAGGAACGTGCAGAGACGATGTGGACGCGCAGCAGCAGGTTCATGAGTCTCATGGTGGTTTTTGTTTGGCCGCTGCTTGAAGTCAGGAGGTGAACAGAAATAGATCCAGTGAGACACAACACGCCACTAAAACACTCACTTAGCGCTCCATTACCAAACAGCTGACAGTAAACGCATCACAGCTGACACCATGTGCAGTCTGTTTGAGCTTCTGCTGTGGCCAAAAGTATATGGACACCATGAGACGTTTGTGTCCGTTGTTCGTGGTTTGGAGGAATCTAAATACTTTGTGTCAGCAGTTCCTGTTTCAACATGACAGCGCCCTGCTCAAGACTTAAGATCCCCAACCACGCGTTTACAGTGTAGGAGAGACTGTAAGGGGAGCGGTGGGTCCACTACAGATGAATACACTCAGCGTCCGTCTGTCTGTGGGACTTCTTCTTCTTCTTCTTCTTCTTCTTTAGTGCACGTCTGGGTCGTCGCCAGGGCAACAGAGTGAATATAGAGGGGAGAGACGGCGCGTCATAGATGCCGCTCAGTCGCCATAGCGACTGCAATGGAGATGATGTGGAGGGACAGAGGGAGAGAGACGAGTCACGTTTCATTCAGAAATCCTCATATGCGATGGGGAGAAGGGGGGAGGGAGAGAGAGAGAGAGAGAGAGAGAGAGAGAGAGAGAGAGGCAGGCTGGATATTTGGATGGATGTCACACCTCCGTGCTCGTGGGCTCTTTGACCTTTTATATATAACTAATGAGAGTCACATTTTATTTATATTTACTGCCAATATCACAAATTTGCCTCGAGGGGTTTGACGGTCTGTGGAGTTGAACCCGTGAATCACACGAGGGAAAAAACCCGAGTGGATAATCATTATGACAACATCACAGACTGTAAACACATCTCAAAAAAACCAGCAGCAGATCCTGATCCAACGTGACAAACACAGAGGCAGAGACACCTGGAGGACCAACATCCACATCCTAAACATCTGGAATGAGGCACCGACACCGGGGGAGGGAGGGAGGAAAAGGAGAGAGAGAGAGAGAGGATGAACAAACAGAGAGAGAGAGAGATGCAGTGGTTTAATAGAGTCATTGAGACTAAAGTGCTGCGAGCCTTTTAAACCCCCCCTCCTGCCGTGGGACAGTTTCCCTGCCTCAGAGCGCTGAGGTCTGGACTGGACTCGGTCCTCCCGCAGCCTCAGAGCCGTGACGCGGCGTGGAACCACCGCCGCCGCCGCCGCCGGAGCGACGCTCCCACACTGTTTCTCTCCGGGTGAAAGATCCGATCACTGACGCGTCTGTCATGTAGAGAGCTAATGAAGAAACTAGTGAAAAGGTCGGAGTTGTCATATTGACATTTAAGGCGTAGTGATTGATTTCCAAACGTCACGCTAGAAAACATTTCACCTAAAAAGCTGCCGGTAGCGTCTGAGCTGCTCAGTGGGTTCACCTGTTTAATAGTAAAGATGAAAAGTCAGTCTGTTAAACCTGGTCAGGAAATGAAAGCTAGCTTAGCTACGATGTCATAGCCTAGCCTGTTAGCTTAGCTTCCCTATCTGAAGGGATGTTTCCGGTGTGGCCTGCTGCTTGATGCTACGCTAACTACAACCTGCTACATCCATGCTATCACTGAGCTGGATGTTTGTCCGACGCTGCGTCATATTCTCAACACGATCAAACTGTTTCATAAAGTCAGTCCAACATCTGATCATGTGATCATAGTCGACTGATCTGTGTAAACTTGTCGCCATAGGAACAGAGGTTACATCACCTTAAAGAACACGCTCCGGTACGTAAACAAACAGCTCCACAGCTCTGTCTCTGAGTTACAGGATAACGAGCGGGAATAAAGGCGACCGCGAAAGAAGCTGGTCAAACTCCGTGACCTTTCTACTCGCTGTGACTAACGAGAGCGACAGGCCGAGAGGTAATTGCAGCTGTGTGTGTGATGGACCTGTGGACCAGCTGACTGACAGACAGATGAAGAGACACAGACCTGGAGTTAATTGGTGTTGTGTCTATAGGGGGCGATTAGTTAACGGAGCCGCCTGCGGCCCGATGACTGACATGACATTAAGATCAACAGCAGCGGCGGATACAGAGACCAACTGTCTCCATGTGCTGAAGGACTTCTGTCCGTGGTAATCAGCTGTTTTTAAGTCTTTGAGACGTCACAACACAATAAACCTGATGGAAACTGTACATTGGTTAATGTCCAGCTGCAGGTACAACATCTGTATGTGTCAAAAACTGTATATGATAACCATGACAACCATTATCTGATTTTAGAAAGAGACTTTTCGAGGACTTTGACTCTGCAGAAGTGTCAGAAACAGCTTTTCTCTTATAAAAAACACAGTTCTTTCAGTAGTGATGCTGAATATACAAACGTTATCTTGTATACATGATGTTTTTAGTGAGTGAGTGAAATAATCATCAACTCCATGACTGAGTGTTTCCACCTGGACCTGCAGTGAACCAATCACAGTCTCAAACACAGATTCAGGGTTTCATACGTCACAAACCTAAGGAACCAATCCTGTCACCTTGTGGGGACAAGGGGGGGCGGGGCTAAATACACCTGAAACCCCGTCAGTACAAAGAGATAGAGAGTTAGCATTAGCACAGCTGCTAACTCTGTGTCAGCCACTGCCAGTTACAAGGCCTGACCCAGGAAGTGAGAGGAGATGAGCTTCAGACCCAGTTTTTATGTGTGAAACTAAATATGAATGGCAGCGTCTCTGCTCCTGACTTTTGTTTTTTAAGCCACAAAATCGACTTCAGCTTCCTCATCAAACTCTGGCTGGTTTTTCTCTCCTGCTCCTGATGAGGAAATAAACAGAGCTGTCTGATTGTCTCGGAAGCAGGGTTTGACTTTAAATAAAATAAAATAATAAAAACACGTAACTGCCTGTGTGTGCCGTTAGCTGCAGCGTGAAGAGATAAGACGCTGGAGATTTTAGTAAATCATGATTTTAAAATCAAATGAAGTCGATCGTCTTTTAATAAACGACATATTAACAAAATGTGTCTGTGGGGGCCGAGAGGATCTGAGCCCACGAGACACGTCGATACATTAGTTTGATAACCTGCCAGAAAGTTATTGTGGAAGACACACACACACACACACTAATACACACTAATACACACACAGTGATACACACCTCCTGATCCTTCTCTGGTTTATTGGGGTCATGAGTTCATTTCATTTTTTTGCAGTAACAAAAAATGAACTGTGGAGACGAGAGCAGAGAAAATGGCTGGAAGACAAAATAGATGGACTGTGTGTGTGTGTGTGTGTGTGTGTGTGTGTGTGTGTGTGTGTGTGTGTGTGTGTGTGTGTGTGTGTGCACTGATTTAAGATCATCCATCAAACAACCTCACACTCTGCTTTTTAAACCTGCTGCTTTAATCAAAGTAGAACAAACAGACCAAACGTATGTGTGCATGTATATTTTTTACGTGTGTGTGTGTGTGTGTGTGTGTGTGTGTGTGTGTGTGTTCATGCATGCATTACTTAAATGAATCACCATGTTCAGTGGGTGTAAAAGCAAATATCTGAGCTCCTGACTGGACGTGCTCTGTTTCGACTCTTTCGACTTTGTGTCAAATAACTGCGTTTTACTTTGGTCAGTTATTATAACTGGATCTCACCGTGTCTGTTTTATTAATAGAGACAGAAACGATGGACAAAACCAGCTGTAATCTACCATCCCGTATATACAGTATACTGAGTTTAATTTGACTTGATATTGCACAGCATTGCTAGTTTCTGCTACAGGCTATGTGCTAATGATTGAAATCATTAAAGCTCCTCCAGTGTAAAGGTCTGTGTCCATGTGTAGTGTGATTATAGATCAGCTCTAGCTTCTATATTAATACTGTGAAAGTATCAAAGCCTCAGTCCACAGAGAAATGCACACAGCCTGTATTCAGAAACTGAGCCTTAAAACCAGCCGTCAGGACTTCTGGAACTTTGTGATGTCACAACAAAGCAGTCACCAAGCCCCGCCCACCTGGACCCACCATCCAAACCTTTACAGGATTTGGTTTCTCTGAGTGTTTTTACCTGAAATCTGCTATATTTTTATTGGATCACTCAGAAAACAGTCAGATACACTACACTGAGATGGTTTTTATATCTTCTTATGAATCAACACTTCAAATAAAACACAGAAGAAGAGAAAAATATGGAGCTTTAAGGCCTAATTTTAAATTTATCAATTAATTTTAGTTTAATTAATTAATTTGAGTTTATGAGAAATACATAGCAAAATAGGAAATTCTTACACTTGAATCTCTTTAAACAGCTATTTTTGTCATTGTTTTGCCATGAATTTAGTTGTAAAAAAAAGAAAAGAAAAGCCTGTACCAACATGATATACCAACACAACACTGTGATTATGTACAACTATTAAGATCTTCACTCAGGTGGCAGTTTATTAGGAACGCCTAGCTTAAAGTGATGCAGTGTAATGCAGCGGTCCTGCAGTAAATCCTCCTCCTGAATGTTGAGCGGATGATTCAGCTGTGATCGGTCTG